ATAAGTTAATTAGTAAGTTTTTGAGTTATAAGCCAAGTCCTTAGGTGTGGAAATATTTTTGTCACCCACCTGTAGTTTGTAAGTTTTTTATATATGATATTTTTTTTACAGTAAATAATGATACAAATCAATGACCTATTGAGCATTAATTCTAACTAATCCATTTACTTTCATTATGAAGTAAAATCTAACATATATTTAATATAGAAAGCATTGAATTCATTAATTTTATATGTTTTTTTAATGTCAAAATAGTATTATTAGTAATATAGAATTAAAAAAATATTAAATTTTCTATAATTATAATGTAATTAGATTTTAATAATAATTTAGCAACAAAATTGAAATATTATATATATATAATTTAATGTAGAGAGCATTGATTCTGCTTATTTTATATTGATATTCTATATTAATTCAATATTAGATTATGTTTCCTGATATTTTTGTCACTTCTACAATGAGTAAGTTCTTTACATATGACTTTTTTTTTTTACAGTAAATAATGGTACGAATCAATGCCTTATCGAACGTTAATTCTAACTAATCCACTTGCTTTTTGTCATCTAAGTTTGTAGGTTCTTTACATATGATATTTTTTTTTACAGTAAATAATGATACAAATCAAGGCCCTATCGAATGTTAATTCATTTAACTCTTTTGTCACTTCTACAGTAAGTAAGTTCTTTACATATGACTTTTTTTTTTTTTTTACAGTAAATAATAGTACAAATCAATGCCCTATCGAATGTTAAATCTAATTAATCCACTTACTTTTTGTTATCTATATAGGAGATAAGTTCTTTACATATGATTTTTTTTTTTACAGTAAATAATGATACAAATCAATACTCTATCGAACTTTAATTCTAACTAATTCACTTACTTTTTTGTCATCTATATAGTTTGCAAGTTCTTTACATACGACTTTTTTTTACAGTAAATAATGATACAAATCAATGCCCTATTGAACTTTAATTCTAACTAATTCACTTACTTTTTTGTCACCTATATAGTTTGTAAGTTCTTTACATATGACTTTTTTTACAGTAAATAATGATACAAATCAATGCTCTATTGAATGTTAATTCTAACTACAGTGCCTATATGTGAACCTTCAACAGATGCTTGATGGAACAGGTTATTTTTCTTGCCCTAATAAACTGCCAAGCCTTTTTTAACTATTGATTTAAGCGGAATGTACTTTCATCAGTAAATATCATGGTATTCAATCAAAATCCTTATGTTTCTTCGCCCATGAGAGCTATTTTTTCCGATGCTTCTCTCTGAGCAATGGCTTCACGAGTTTTCTATAATAGCAAGCCCACCTTCACCAAGGTGCCATTGAATGGTATGCACGTGAATGTCTACATTCTGTTTAAAAAGCTCATAGTAGATTTCTGATGCTGTAATATATATTTTCTCTTTTGCCAGCTTCCAAATCCGGTTGTCTTGTCTTTGGGTAGTGACTCCTTGATGACCCAACCTTGGTTTGTTGCTTAAGTCTTTGCTTTTTTGCCATCTTTTTGCCCATTCTCATGCTGTTTTTTCATTACAGTGAACCTGCTTCGCTGTCTCACACAATGAAAGCTTGAGGCCCTTCGGGTAGCTGGTTAAAAAGACAATTTCATATCGCTTATGCAAAGGAAGAGTCATTTTTTTGATTGAAACTTGGCATATAAGCAGCATGAGCATTTTTACTATATACAGTACCCGAAGAAGTTTAGTATGATCTGCATACATGATGTTTCTTGCCTGTATGAAATTTCAAGCTTCTACACTTGAATTTTCAGAAATTACAGGTGCGAGGAAACTTTTGTCGGGTACTGTAATCAACTTAATTTTTTGTTACCTATATAAGTTTGGAAGTTACTACATAGTTCCAAAATTAAGCATCCCTAGAAATTAAGCACCACCAACATTTGGTATAATCTCCAAAAATAAGATCCTTGCATTTTATATTAGTTTTGCCTCTGAATTCGCATTAATAGGTTTTAATATATTTGATGCTTTAAAATTGTTCATTGAATTGCCATAAAGAGTTATCGTATCAGGTTCCTTTAAAATATTATGCACCTTAATGTGTAATCTTATAAAACACTAAATCTTTTTTTCTTTTTTCTATAATCTAATCGTATAACTTTATTTACCTAGGGTAAAACTCTGTTTGACCAGAGCTGCTTGCTTGGTGCATTGTTTTATCTCAGCTCCTATAGTCTACTTACTTTAATCTAACGACCAACCATGCTAGAATAAAGCTTAAAGGCTATCATAGCTTTATTCCTTCCAGTTTTTTTAGCATAGGTGACAACTTGATTTTTATTGTTCGATAGAATATGAAATATGCTTAAATTTAGTAACTTTATTTTTTCATATATATTATTTCTATATTCGTTTCGTGGTGATATAACAATAACGATATTATATATAAATTAAGATTACTTCTTAGTTTATCTTTTATATGTATTTATATAACAATAAATTACAGTATATTATAAATCTTATCATAAAGTTAACCAAAATTAAGCACCCTCTATAACAAAAAAAAAAGTGCTTAATTTCAGAACTATATAGTATTTATATATGACAATTTTTTTTTACAGTAAATAATAGTACAAATCGAATACTAATTCTACTAATCCACGTACTTTTTGTCATTATATAGAAGGTGAGTTCTTTACATTTGATATTTTTTTGGAGGGTCCACCTCAAATTAACAACACTCATTTCGTAGACATAGCATTTCACCGACAATCAATTTATCAACATGTTCATTTTGCTAACACTCAATTCACCAACAGCTCAATTCATCGACAACTCGATTCATCAACAAGTTCAATTCACCAACACTTAATTTATTGACAATCAATTCACCAACACTCAATTTACCAACAATCAATTTACCAACACTCAATTCATCTACAAAGTAATTATACCAGAATTATGTTTACTGTAAAGTTAGTAAATTAAGCTTATCAGTGAGTTGAGTATTGATGAATTGATTGTCAGTGAGTTGATCATCGATGAAGTACTGTATTGTGTCTACAAAATAAATATCGGTGAGATAAGCGTAACCAGTTTGCAACAATAGATAAGTTCATTATTTTAACAGTGAGTAGTGGTAGGTTCGTAAATTTAGCAGTAAATTGCAATTTCAACAGTGAATAGTTCATAACTCAAACAAAGAGCATATGATTTCAACAACAAGTAGATTTGTAATTCAACAGTAAATGAACTAACGATTTTAGTAATGAAAAAAATAGCAACCCAACATCACATGACGAGACAATTAAGTTAGAGATTTTAACTTTCAGAATTTTGGCATAGATACGGGAGTAGCCAAATATTTATTTTAATATCTGTCTGCTTTGTCTAATTTTGGTAATTTGATAAGATATAATAATATCGCTATATATCAATTAGTAATGCCTTTGACACAACTTGACAGGCAGTTTCAAATCATCACTACTCTACAACCAAAATACAATAAAAATATAAGATACAGTGAAGCCTACTCAAAAAAAGCAAAAAAAAATTAGTTTGAGAACCAGGATCTTACTGCCAGCATCTATAACTAATGATACTTATTTACATGACTATGAGCTTCATTTAGATTATTCAATATCTATGTTTCACCTCAAGTCAAACCCGAAATAGCATTTGTTAATGCTATCTCACATGCCAACTATTGAATATTTCCCATTACAACGGGTTACTATGAGTTGTTCGCTAGTCTTGATTAAAATCTGATTTAAAATAAAATGAGATCATGATAATCATCATGCTTATTCATTTACTTCAATTCTTACCCTTAACAAATTTATCGTACCGGAAGTATCTGCACCACCTATGCAAACAATGTTACCATTCGGTAATAAAGTAATCAAATCTCCCCAATGGTGCACCAACTACACTATTTTTGTATCAAGAATATCCATAGCAACATTTTCCACATTTAAATATCCGGAAAACATATACATTTTTCCTATTTTAATGTCACAAACAGAACATGTATGTTTATTTGGAGGTTGGCCTGGGGTTATTGGATCGTTCCATTGTAGTGTTTTTAGATTATAAGTGAAAACTAGGTTTGCAGGATTCGTAGCACCAAAATCGCCATCAAACATTACTAAAGTATTATTATCGGGTCCGCAAAGCGAAAATGCACTCCAGGAATGTGGTGGAATAATTGACCCTAAACTAAGATTTACCCAAGCCATTGTACCTTCATTTATTTTAAAAGCGGTTGATACGTCTAAATGATAAAATTCATTAGATGGTGTCCAAA